AGGTTTCATAACCCATTAAAAACAAAAAAAATCATTTAGTCAGAATTAAATATATCGTAACAATCTCTTATCCAGTTATGACGATAAAATATCAACACGCCATCCATTTCAAAAAAAGGAAAATAGTCTTCAATTTTTTATACCTCTTCTATACCTCAAGCTTATGTCGTCACGCAATAAAGCAATCAGAATTGGCAGCAAAAAATCGATTGTTACGTTATTCCTGGTAATTTAAATTTGCGCGAAGAATTTTCAAAGGAAAAAAAAAAATAGGAAGACCTTCTTTTACCCAGAGAACATTTTGGAAATTTTTTCCACCTAAGGCTCATGTACACTCTTCCAAGTACAAGTTAAAAATCGGAAGGGAAGCGAAAAGAAAAACAGGCTGAGATATGAAGCGCTAAATTAAATCTGGAAGCCAAGAAGTCATTCATATAATGGCTTGTCAGATAAATTCTTTTTTTATCCAAAGTTATTTGAATTAACACGCAAAATATTTTTACCAAAGTTTTTTTTTTTTTTTTTTTGGATTCCAATTCTTCCGCTTTTGTTTGTCATTTTTTTTGTTCTTTTTTAGTTTTTCTTTTTTTTTTAATTGCATTTTTGCAGTTTTTATCAGTGTATATGACGATGGAAATAAAAACAAAAAAATTAAAATTTTCGACACCTTATTGCATTGTACATGGAAAAATTTCCTCCATGTCGCGGATTCGACCAAAAATGCTATCAAAAGACCTTGTTTGGGAACTTTTACTTAACTCTTCATTTAGCGCTTTCAAAATATCTTTTTCAGTCGATTTCCAACAGTCCGCGAGGCGTTTCTTTTAACGACGTAGCCAGATGAATTCGTCGAGTCAAGACCAAGTGATTTCTACCGTGAAGACATGTCACAAGCTCGTGGAATGTTGGCAAGAGATCGAAAAATGAATGAGAATATTACAGATTGATTTGTTTGTTTTTTTCAAGTGTAGCGGTTGCTGGTAAATTATCAGCCCACCAAGGAGCATGCTCCAAAATAATGAAACATATATAGACTCTGGCATATTCACTTCGCACTTCAATACACTCAGCGCATGTCCAGGAACCGTGACAGGAAAAAAAAAGCATACAAAACATTATTTAACTGTGGATTTTGGAAACTTTTCAACATAGCCTGCTACAATACATTAATTTTATTAGTATATTTGTTCATCTTTATTTATTTTTATTAACTTCTTCCCTGTCCGTGATGTCGTCTTGTGTTTCCTCTTGTGTACCAAAAACAAAAACCGGGATGATCGGATTATTTCCTGCTATATTCCAATTCCTGGAACAAGTAAACTTTCTTGTCCAAATCCAACCCCCACCCGACAGGATTAAGTCATTTCCCTCAATTCTATCCCCACCCGACAGGATTAAGTCATTTCCCTCAATTCCATCCACACCCGGAACGATTAAATCATTTCCCACAATTCTATCCACACCCGACAGGATTTAAGTCAAGATCCTTAGCTGATAGAAGAAAGGATGAGGAACGATTAAATCAAGGCAACTGGAGATGTCGATTGACAAGATTAAATTTGAATAGCCTGGAGATTTTAGCTCTCAGGGAAACAGGAATAGGGAAGGGAGTTCCACAGGCGAGATTTTTTTCTCAATTTTTATTAAACTCATAGAGTAGAAGAGACCGGCTAATTTAGGAGTTTACTTGAATGAGCGGGATGCCAGCCTCGTTAGCGCTGGAAAAAGTTCAATCTGGGAATCAGCGAATGCAGCTCCTCGGAGCAATTTCCATGAAAGTATTTGTAGAACAGACAGAGGGAGGTGACGGCGCGTCTGTGAGAAATTGACTGTAGACGAGACGCCAGGGCAGGGCCAACCACTTTGCATATCCGCCTCTGGAGCTTATCAAAAACTCAGAGGCAAACAGAAGGGGCACCAGACCATATATGGCAGCAATACTCCATGCAAGGGCGAATTGTTGATTTGTAGATCTGGAGGATCGACTCCGAGGAGAAAAAACTTCCTGGCGCGGCTCAGGGAGCCAACTTTTCTTGCAGTGGACGAGGCAATTGACTCAATGTATTTGTGCCATCTCAGGTCGGCAGTCAACGTGAGACCGAGAAGCCGCAGAGAGTTGCTCTCGAGAAGTTGAGCGTCAAACATTCTAATGGAGGGAAGGGAAGGCTGCCTGTGGTGATTAATAAAGAGCAGTTTTGTCTTAGAAGCGTTGAAGTTGACTAGCCAATTCTTGTCCCAGTTCACAATCAATTGGAGGTCCATTTCAAGACGAGCGGTCAGGTTAGTTTTGTCAGCGACACTAGATTTGTTTTTGAGGCAGGAGTAAATTGTGGTGTCATCCGCGTAGATGCGAACTTGGGAATTTATGGCGTCAGGAAGGTCATTTATGTAGATGAGGAATAGAGTTGGGCCTAGGATGGAGCCTTGAGGAACACTTGCGTTCGTGGGATAGGAACTGGTGGAAAATCCGTTGAGAACGACCTTCAATTCACGGTTTGACCGGAATTATTGTATTATGTCAAACAATCTACCCATAATGCCATAACCCTGGAGCTTGCGAAGAAGGCCGGCATGCCAAACCCTATCAAATGCTTTGGAGATGTCTAGTGCCACGGCTCGAGCTTCCCCGTTATTTTGGAGAGCTTGGTAGACTGTTTCAGTGATGGCCGTAAGCACATCGGCTGTAGATCGGGCAAAGCGGAAACCATATTGCTTGTCTGAGAGCAGATTATGGGATGTGAGGTGGTTAACCACCTCGGTATTGATTAGAGCTTCGAAGACTTTGCCGAAGAGGGTAGGAGACTGATAGGACGGTAGTTGGAAGGGTCAGAAGGGTCGCCAGAGTTCTTGAAGACAGGAACGATCGAAGAGGACTTCCAGCAGTCAGGAAAACAAGATTCCTTGAGGCAGTAGTTGTATAGTTTCGAAAGGGCGGGCGCCAGTTCAGGTGCGCATTTCTTCAAGACAATGGCTGGTATCCCGTCTCCACCACTAGCTATGTTGGGATCTAAATTAGAGATAACGCCCAGTACCAAAGATGGGGTTATGTTTAACTCACTCAATATGGCCTCAGTTCGAAGAGGGAAGTCGGGTATGGGTACACCGGAAGAGTCGAGCGTCGAGTTGAATGAAAATTTCCGAGCAAAGCATTCAGCCTTGTCGGTAGAGGAGGTCAGGACTTCGAACTGGTTGAATAAAGGATGTATAGAGGGTTTGCAATTGTTCAATACGCTCTTGCAGAGCCAATAATCTTTGGAGCCAAATTTGCGAGATGCAATACGTTCCTTCATTCGAGCCGCAGATAGTGACTTAGCATCATTGAGGACACACACACATGTTTAAGGTATGCTATATATATGGGCTAAAGTGTATGTAAATATAAAAGTGAACATTGAAGTCAGCAGAAGCGAAGGACTGTTTTATAACTGATGATTGCGTTTAGCATGAAACAGTCTGTCGCCTCTGAAACCTTGAATGGACAATGTTTTATTTATATATATATATATATATATATATCATTGGTTAGCTACTCGCAAATAATCTTCGTAAATTAGGAACAATATTTTCTCAGATATTCCGAGAAAATTTGACAGTTTGATAAACGAATAAAGCGGAAGACCAAAGAATACAGAGCCGAAACATTGTGATAAGGAGAAATAAAATAAACAAAAAAACAAAAACAGAAGAAAAAAACAATGTATTTCAATTTAGTTGAAAATAATGCATTTTCTCGGAGGGGCGGGAGCAAGATATTTTACCTTCTGTAAATATAACGGCTAGCAACTTTAGTCCCATAACCAACGCTTAAGAGATTTCACTCCTCAAGAGACGCCCACATTATCAAGCAGTATTCTCGTACTTCAGCTCTTACATATATATATATATATTAGTCAACTCTTAGTTTTATACAAGATGGTTCCAACTAAAATATAATCCAAACTTGAAAAGTAAAAACCACATATTTTTAACCCCATCTTCAGTTCGTTTTTCTCAAGCTTGAACATATATTACTGTGGTCTTATAAGAGTCCTACAAAAACTGCGACCCATTTGTCCTTCTGAATAACCCGTGTAACTTTTTTTTTTCGTTCTCATTTCTTCATTAAAGTTCTCTCATGCATATCAATGATTAAGTAATGTTTCTTTAATGTTGTAATCTTTCGTTGAAGGCAACGTTTTCGGTATTTTAATCATTGGTTATTTTTACTAAGGAAGATCATACGTGTAAACCAAAATTATGGCTTTTTAATTATAGAGAAGTAAACCTCTCTTTTTCTAATATTATATATAAGCTTTACTCCATTCCTAAGGAAGATGTTTATGGTCTTCATTAGTGAAAATGCCCGAGTTATCTTCAACAAAAATGACGATTTCTTTTTTGTTTTGCTGTGTGGCTCGCCTTATAAGTTGTATTTCCAACGACCCATTGCTGGAAAAAGGTTACCCATACATGTCCTAAAACAAATATTAAATTTACATTTGCAAAGCTAACAAGAACCCCTTGAAATTTAAGACAACTTCTCCTGTAATTCCCTGTGTATAATACGCATTTTTTTCTATAAAAAAAGCAAAATCAGGGATCCGTATTATGCAAAGATACAAAAAAATCTTTTAAAAATAATTCCGTAAAATAAAATAAGAATTATCATAAAACTTCATTAGAATAATATGTTTAAAAACCATTTTTTTAAATAAGAGTTTCTAGGAAAAGTTAAAGTAATGAAGTTAAAATTCATAGACAATTTATTTAATCAATGATTACAAAACAAGGGGGCTCTTATTATGCGTGGATTTTTTCATTTTCCCACACTATTTGCACAATTTTAAGTGTGCCATTATGGATGAAGGCGTATTATACATAGGGAATTACGGTACTTGTGCATCTATCAAACTTGTATATAAAAAAAATATCTCAAAGAAAGCAAAAGAAATCGTTCCCTTATTTACATGTAACCAGAAAAAAATAAACATTTAGAATTCGGCCTTCAATTTTTTACTTACCTGGTATAGAAATGAGGGTAGTTAGGAGTTGTCAGGTATTGGATTTTGGAGTAGGCTGTCAGTTCCGTAACGCCAGAACAGTTTACACCTAGATAAAACAATAATAAACACTTGTAATATTGAAAATGCATTACATTCATGTACCTTACGATAAAAAGCTAACTTTTATTAAAGAAAACAGAAATAAGAATGAAAGAGGATTGATATCCTCAATAGGATTTTCTTCCTAAAGAATATATTTTCCGTATTTGCGTCTTCATATTTCAAGCAAATGCATGCAATATTTTATGAGTAATGTTTATATTATTCGCTCGCTTCAACTTACAAGAAATACGATTTATCTGGAAAAAAAAAAAAAAAACTTCTTTATTGCGGTGGAGATTCATTTTTCCTTCGTTAAATATTTGTTGCTTGTAAAATGAGAAGAAAAGATCTTCGAAGGATAAAAAATGGCGCGTTCGAAATAACGGATTGAAGAGAGGACATAATTCAACTGTTTTTCTTTTCATTGCTAGAACAGAAAACCCGAATATGAGCCGTGCTTAATGTGCTGAAAAGTGGCACCATGATGACGATGACGGAGAAGATTTGCTTTCGTAGTAACCGATCTTCAAAAAATCAACGAAAATCCTTACTCAAGTTATTTCCGATAACAATGGTTTTTGTTAGAAAAATCACTGATGTCTTTGAAGACTGTCAGTATTTATCGTATTACTGAAAATTTTTAAGATATATATTATTCATAAAGAGTATCTAAGAACAGCAAAGCCTAATTTCACGTAAATAAGGGAAATTTTAAAATAATAACTCAAATATTATAAAGCTAAAAGTTTTCCCTTAATTATTGTACAGCTTCGTCTGACGTAAAATTATTCAACAGAGGAAAGTCTAATATTATTTAAAGTGTTCAACGTTATTAAAAAAAAATCAAATTTATAAAATAAAGCAAGTTAATCTATTTCAAAATAGTGAAAATTGTTTAAAATCTATTAGTCAAAATTATTAAAAAAAAAAAAAAGAACAGCGAAAAGTAAGCGAAATGAGAAAAGAACTTAGAAAAACAATTAAAAACAGAACTTATACAGCATTAAACACTGCAAATTAATTTCAGAGATTATATCCACTCATCAGGAGTCTAAATAGTAAAATTGAATTGATTTTCAGAAATATTATTTATATGACTTAATTTATAACGAAAATACGCATGAAATTGTACTTTGTTAAAAAACGTTATCGTATGAAAAAAGACAAAAAAAAAACAATTTTAATTAAATCAAAAAGGAAAATGCATAATTAATTAATGTCTTTTAAGAAAATTATTAATGTTTTAAGATAAAAAGTACCTCCGAAAATAAAGCAATTTTTATTAAATCTCCTTGCCTTATAAACATCTGCAAGAAATGCTCTAGGTGACCTTCTTTTTTTTTTTTTTTGCAAAAGAAAATTGACAGATTATTAGACGAGACTTTGCTCTACTAGAAGTTGCAATTTTCTTTTTAATTTAAAAAAAAAAAATCAATTTTTCGGGTACTACATCAACTAGGTTTCAGGTTGAAGATTATTTTGTAAAAGACAACACTAAATATTATTTTAAGCTACGCCTTTCCGCTTTTCGTTGAAAAAACAGCATAGCCTGATGAAAAAAGGCCCCAAACTTAATAAAAACAAAGTTTTATTATCAAAGTACGCATTATTATTAAGAGAAAAGACCAAAATATCTTTTAATTATGTTTAAAAAAATTAAATTTTCTAACACGTTCGAAATTTTGGTTAAAAATCCGTTTCTTTTGTTTTTTTTTACGTCAGCGACAAGAGCAATTTTTACAATTAAGTGTTTTTGCGTTTTTTACCGGTGAAAAACACATTGATTTTGAAATTCTTGCAAAAATCAAATAATTCTCAGATTTTAATGGAACTTTCAAGAATTATTCATAAATTAACGACATTATTTTTTAAGTATGTTTTAGAAAATACTGTTATTTTTTATTTTACATATGTTTCACCCTTACACACTTATTTATTTCGTGAAATATGAAAATAAAATTTTTTTTTCTATTTTTTTTATTAGGTAAAAATAAAACATCTTGGAGAATGTTAATCATCCAATTTTTTTTCAAACTTTTACTATTTTTACAGAAAATCTGCTCCGAAGAGTAAAGTAAAGAATGTAATAAAACTATGACTAAGTAGAAAAGCTTTTAATTGTTTTTGTAAATATTAAGGGCACTATTGACTTAAGAAATTTGTTTTCGATGAATAATGAATTGTTACAATTTTTTCATTTTTTAAAATCTTAATTATAATAATTTATAACAATTTAAAAATCGTTTAAAATTCTGCATTACTTTGAGGTGATATTGTAATTAAGTGGAAACTATATTTACGAATCCAAAATCGAAAAGCTTAATATAAGTCGTTTTTTGACAATATTTAAAAAAAAAATATTTTTATTTTAAGCATTCACATTTTACATCTGTAGTAGCCTGTATGAAGCATTATTATGAAAAGGTCGGATGTTGTAAGAGTTATCCTCCATTTTGAGAGAAATTAGCTCGGCTGCAATTCGTTATTCATTGCATGTTTACGTCTCAACTTTAAAATAATAATAAAAAAAGATATTAAAAACATAAATTAATAATAAATAAAATACCATAACATGTCATAACTTATTGAATTACCTCTATCATGGTATTTCATCTCAGTTATTAAATTTTTAAATTAATCTAAGAAAATTTCATTATTTTTTTCAGAATACATATTCAAACATAACTAAAATCAATAAAATATTGGATAATTGCTGAAAATATGTGAATTTGTAAAAATTACTAGGTAGTTAAAAACAAAAAAAAAAAATGCGTTCACTTAGGTTTCGTAAATTTATGTTAATTCTGGTCATCTATACTTACACTCAACAGATAGGAGCTTAGCGATAACGTCAATATGACATAAGAAAAACAAAACCCCCGTTAAGAAATATGTGTATACTATTTTTTATGCTATAATATTTGTTTCAAATTAGATTAATTTAACTTTAATTTACGTGTCACAAATATATATTTTATTTCTGAAAGATTTTTAAAACTGATAAGTTTGTTTTGTATAAAAATTTCTTAAAAGTGAGAAAATGGCCGCTTGTAAGATGAGTTTTTGAAGGTTAGCATTACAGCCTATATAATTTCGACTTGAAATCCAGAGTATTTTACCTAATGGAAATATTAAATTTAATCCTTTAGCCTTCAATTAAAACTAAAAAGAAAACTTCAAGAATGTGTTTTCATTTTTAAAAGTTCTTTTTAAACCTTAGGTTTCGAAAATTTACCGAACTAGCTGAAGTACTTATTTTAAGCCCAGCCAGTTGACAAGCGTCGTTTTTCTGTTGATATGAGACTATTTTGATGTGCATATAGACACACAACTGAGCGCTGAATGTTGAAAAAACGTCGCTATCAAATTCGTAGCTTTCCAAATGCGAAAATAATGTTACATAATTTAAAGTGTCCTGGAATAAACACTAATTTGCAACACCCAACAAAGAATTGTGTCTTTATTAAGTGGAAATAATAACTTTTGTTTACATACTAATTTTATCAAAATCACATCGAAAATAAGCGAGATGTCATATTTGAACGTGGAAGAAATTTAACTATTTTGACCAGTTTTCACAATGTAAACAAGGGCAGGTAAATCTTTGTTACTGTTTATGTAAATCTCCAGCTATTTTTGTTCCTTCTCCGTCGTACTGTTTGTTTGCAATGACAAAACTCACACTAGTGGCAGTAATCTCACTATTCTGAAGTGAAGGATTTCATGATTAATTTGTTACTCCCATTAAAAAAAAATATCAAAGCATTAGAGGTCGACTGAGTCTTCGAAGATTAAAAGAAATAGAGGAAAAAATGCCCCAATAATCAAAGAGAAAATTTCAAAGACAAAATTAACATCCAGATAGTTACACATTATGAAATAGACAAAGTCCGACAACTATTTTAAGACATTTTTATGTTTATACATTCTTTTTACAGATACAAATATTTAAGTAAACGCTCTGTTTATAATAAACAGTATTAATAGCATTTACTGGCCTGAATGTCCGGGAAATTGTCATAAAAAATATTCTTCCTCCAAATAAACAGAGCATTTACTTAAATATTTGTATCTATAAAAAGAATGTATAAACATAAAAATGTCTTAAAATAATTGTCGGATTTTGTCTATTTCATAATGTGTGACGTCATTTGTTTACATATGGACACGCTTTGAGCAGATATGAATGTAGGCGAGAGATTCATGGAAGATTGTAGTTTAAAAGCAGTAAAATCGACCTTGCTGATCGAACGATCCTCTGTGGCTCATCGGTTAAGGCACGTTAGTCTATATGCCGACTCCGTATAATATACAGGTTCGATTCCTGTCTGAGGACGAATATTTTCTATGAAAATTGTTCAGATATTCAGGCCGGTAAATGTTATTAATACTGTTTATTATAAACAGAGGATTTACTCAAATTTTTGCATCTATAAAAAAAAATGTATAAATATAAAAATGTCTTACAATAAATATTGTTTTTTTTTATACCGAAATAATCTCTTCATTATATGTTGCATATCATAAAATTGGTTTTAAGTTGCCGTTCATTAAGTTATAAAAACTAAGTCAATGAGTGGGAGTACTATGAAAATCTTAATGAAATTAAACATTTAGTCAAGCCAATAACGGAGTTTTCTATCAAAGCAATAAAATCAATCTGGAGAAGTAAAATCCTAAGTTCGGAGTCAAAGAAAATATTGTTGAAGTGCTGTGTCAATATTAATCTTACTATACGACAGTTTGTAATGAATTAACATGCAACACAGATTATAATACACATTCACATGCTGATGAAGTCTATGTATGGGAGTTCCAGATTGGTCGAATAACCGTCCAATCACGTCACGTCTCTCTGCTGCCAAAGTAGAGGATATAGGGCTCTTCGCCTTTTTTCGCCTGAAACAAGTGAACATAGATCCCACTCCCGCCTGTACCTCCCTTCGGATACCATATGCCAGACTCATGAAAAGAGAACTTTCATCGTTCTATACTTATGAACACATTCACGAAAAAGGTAAAAAGCTTCGTAAGTTGTGTATTCTTC